GTAGTTGAAATCACGATCATACACGATAGCAGAATTGAGCTCGTCGGCATGCTTGCGGACAACCTCAGCCACCTCATCCGAAATCATGGGAGACAGCTTACCGTTGCGAGGGTTCACATATGTGTATAGATCCTCAACGACCTGGCTGAACACCTTCTTTGTCTGCTTGTGCAGGTTGGACACGGCAATACGAGCAGCAAGAATGGCGTAGTCCGGGTGAACGGTAGTCATGTACGCGGCAGTTTCGGCAGCAAGATTGTCGAGTTCCACGGTGGTAACACCATGGTAAACGCCATTAATGATACGTTGCGTGATGTGGACAGCGTCGACGTGTTGAGGGTCGAGGCCGTAGCAAAGACGCGAAACGCGGGCGGTGATCTTGTCGAACTGGACTTTTTCTTTACGACCGTCTAAAGGTTAGTATCAGGGACGTTGAAACAGTGTTTCGGGAGCAACTTACCTCGCTTGTATACAAACATGGTTACGATGGGGCGTAAAGGAAGAACAAAAAACCTTGCAGGATCGTTCGGTCGCGTTATTTATAATTTTGACGCGTGCGCGCCTTACCCTTGAATTCCATATCGTGATTTATACGGCGGTTAGAGGGGTAGGATGGGTTTTAAAAAATAATCTGACGAATGAATACTAGCTGATTTACGCAATTTTTGTTTTCGAGAGCTTGTCCGAGTTGTTCATCTGCGAAAAGCCCTTGTGGCAATTCTCAACCATGCATTCCGATCCCATGCAAGTAAATTACCCTAATTAGTCTGACTTTCAGCAGGGTTACCCTGTCAGAATCTACCAAGCCGCTTATTCAGCAAACACATCGCCGGGCCGTCCACGAGCAGGGGGGATTACAGGACAAAAAAAGTTTTAGCTCAGCACCCTTATCAACCCATTCACCCCTTGGATCCACCGCCTAACGCCCCCACCAGCAACCCTCCAACCCCCCCTTTTGGTTTGCCGGCAAATAATACCAAAAAGGCACTAAAAGTATGCGATACCTTAACTCAGGAAGCTCTTTGAACGACAGCTACGACGTGTCTCTGTCGAGCGACCATGGCGGGGCCCAAACTGACCGATCAGAGTCCCTAGAACCCTCGGAGTCCGTTCGGCCTATGTCAGACCAAGTAGAGCTCATTAACGCTCGCATTTTCGACAATTCAGACCGCACCCTGTTTCTGCGTGTAATGGGTCGTATTGGCACCCGCTGCACCTATGCGGCAATGGCCACAACCATCGACCGGGTGTTTCGCGATGAGAAATGGACGTATGTTTCAGTGCTTGGTCCCGAGGAACTGACGAAAAAGATCACCAACAAACTCAAAACGCTCAACAAACATCATACTCACCAGGATCTAGAACGCCAGCGCTATCTGATGAACAAGGATTGGTATGAACGCGTAGAAGAGCGTATCGTGCGTCGTCTCAACGATTCATCGCAACCACCAGTGCGAACAAATGCTCCTTCTTCAAGTAATGTTCGCCAGAGCTCTCGCCGAGTGCGGTACTCTGAGGCAGAAGAAAAAATGTTCCGTCATTGGATGGTGAGCTTGACCGAGAATGCAGTCGGCTATATCTACACTGCATACAAAGGGACTCGCAAACGTGAAATGCTCAAGCATAAACTACGTGAAGTCCGCAAATCATATTCTATTAAAGAGGTGAAATCCGTTTCTCGCTCTGAATCAAAAGACGACCTTGCCAGCAACAATGCTGAAGCTGATAACTCGGACGGCGAAGATAAGCACCCGGCTGCCTCCGATGGCAAGTTCCAGCAGGTGGTCACATACCGTCGCCTTTATAAACTCGATTCGTCTGGTCACTTTGATGAAACCAAAAAAGACAAATGGGCAGAAGGCCCTATTCCCGAAGCCGACAAGGCTGCTTTCAATCGCCGTGTCCTGGAGCTCAAGCATGAGACTTCAACATTGAATACCAACGATTTCGATATGCTTGACACTACAACCTCAGCTTTAGGACCTGAAGATGATTTCGACACTTCTACGTTCATTGGCAGAACTCTGGACGTAGATGACCCAGATCGCTTCATTAGCGAGCATTTGCGGGATGCTACGGCGGGTTTGGCTTCTAATAATGACGGTAATCAACAGTCCACTACTGCTAATCTCATTGATGCTCTGCGGGTCGAAATTTCTTCTTTAACGGATCGTGCTGGCCACAACCAAACACTATATCCATTCATTGATGCTTACAACAATATTCTGCAAAGCACTTTGAAGGTGTGTCGTGAAGTCGAACGTAATAGGCAGGGTGGAGAGAGCCAGTTCTCGTACAAACAGCTGTTTGAGGGTGAAGAAGATCGTCACCGCGCCTCGGTTGCTCAGGTACAGAACTATATGAGCTCGCACGGTGCTAGCCTGGGATCGGGCCACCCAACCGCAGCGGCAGCAGCCGCTGTTGCAGCAGCCGCGGCTGTTGGTCAAGAGGATCAATCCAAGGAACAGGTTTCGAAACGGCAGAAAACTCACTGAGAGAGAAACCGTCCAACCAGCCTACCCACCGAATAAAAACAAAACAAAAGCAAAAACAAAAACAAAAAACAAGTTAAACATATCAAGTGTACGAAATAAATTAAGTTATATCTCAAGTTTAACCACCAGTCGCACCTTCAGGGCGAGCAGACTCCCGAACTTCCACGATCTTGCGATCGCGCAATTGCCTGAGGGAATCAGGAACACTGGGAAGCACAGCATGCTGGCCATCTTTGCGACGACGATCAATCAAGTCAATCGTATTCGAAAACCTCTGGAACAGTTGCTCCGCACGCATAAGAACCACATCTATATCCAGAGATTGACCGAGCTCGTTGATGTACTTGAGAACCTCATCAAAGTGATGCAGTTGGGCCATGATGACCTCTTTGTTGAGATCAAGAATAGCCAGTGCCAAGAATAAGTGGAATTGAGAAGAGTAAAAATCAGTCCAGAGCACTTCCCATAACCTAAGAACAGCATCCCATTCAAATTCTCGCTTGTACCAGACTAGCAGCATGCGGAAAAAGAAGAAAAAGTGGGTACTTTCAGCCTTTTCGAGATGCTCGAATAACTGCGGGAGCATGAAGCGAACAAGGCTCTCCAAGGTTTTGAGCTGATCGTGCATTCCGGATTGATCCCGGAGAAAGTTGCGCTCCATCCGGCGCATAAACTGGCAGAACGCCCAGAACGCAAGAGCATCATCTTGAAGAACGACGTAGAGAGGAGAGAGAAGATCAGACATACCCTGAATGTAACCTAGGTTTTCGTTGTACTCATTATAAGTGATGAGCATATCTTTCATCTGTTCCAAATGCGGGTTTGCACCCTGACTGGCAAACCTGCTGTCGGGATCTGGATGGGGAATATCGCTTTGACCGAAGATTTCAAGCTGGCGGTCAGTTCTTAGCACGTCTTTCTCGATTCTGTGTTTTTGATCTTTCCAGAACTCATCATTGTTCTGACGCTCAGTATCGTCCCACCAATGGCGTTTCAAACGATAGTATTCGTTGCGCTTTTCAGAGGTAATAGAATGCCGCTCAATTGCATTACTATCCCATGGATACACGCCGAGCAAAAAGAGCCAACCCTCAGTTCGGGCACTTGGTTCGAGTCCACCATGGAAAATACGATCAAGAACCTCGGTTTGAGTGATACACAATCTGCCTGACAGGTCAAAGAACGAGTTCCATTCTTCTAAAGTGACAGGATTGCGTCTCTCTACTGAGGCAGCCAGGCTTATGACGTCGTACTCTTCATCTGTAGCGCCTATACTCGAAATGAGATCGTCGTAGCTATCCATCCAAACCACATCGTAACGAGGATCAGAGTTTTCAGCAATTCCCAGTGCCCACTCAGCCAAATAGATTCGAGCACTGTCGAAATCATTGCTCAATTGCTCGACCTCGGGGACTTTTAGCATGGCTTTAACATTGGCCGGAGTGCGATCCAAAACCTGCTGGCCGGCCTTACGACTAAACCTTGTCACAGCGGCCAGCTTCTCCATTAGACCCCATTTCGCGTCTTCCCATGCTTTTGAGAGTTTCGCGATATTGTCGTCTCCAGGTTGAGGAGTGACCAGCTTAGCGGCGGCCGGTGAAAACGACAACTTGTCTGCCACATCAGGGTTTACTAGCAGTAGACCTCTTTCGACAGTCGCGTCCACCAGCTTTACGTACTTTCTGAGTTCTTTCAAAAACGATTGGCCGCCCCAATACAGATCGCCAGAGTCCGAGAATGGCTCGAAACTCTCACAATTCCGCTTTTGCTCGTTGACTGTACTCTCAGACTCCAAATCGTGGAAAAACAGTGCTGGTAGCGTCACCTGGGTTCGCGTGTAGAAAAGCAAAGAGCCCCACCACCAGCCTAGAGAGGGCTGGCGGACCTGGATAGAAAACAGGTCTTTGACTGCAATTGAGAAGGCATGAGAGCTGCGAGCATTCAATGGCGGTGGGGAAACCATCACCCTGCTTGTTTCGGAGATTGCGCCCGATTCAGGATCAAGATCTACCTGCACATAGTTGTCAAAGTCATCTTTGGACTGCCGAATGAGATATTCAGGGACCCAGCTGAGAAGAATGTCTAGATCTGAAGCACCGTCTGGCCTGATAAGTGCTAAATAGCCAGCAATGTTGTCCTTGGACGATTTTGAAGGATGTATATAGACTTTTGATTTGCAGTAAAGCAGCTGTACTTTACTGGTGTCCATCAATAGGAAGTGGCAAGACAGAGGCTTGGGAGGGCTAGGGCCATGATGATTTAAACTGGTGCAGTGGCTGCAATAATTTGGATAGTTTGAAATTTAGGGACTGAATTAGCTTGAAGTACGGTGATTTAAATGTGAGCAAGCAGGCTCGGGGGCCTCCTTTTTGCAGGACACCCCTAAGCTGAAGAAGCCGCTGGCCGGACCCAGGCAAACTATCCAAATTATGCAGCAGCCACTGCACCAGTTTAAATCATCATGGCCCTAGCCCTCCCAAGCCTCTGTCTTGCCACTTCCTATTGATGGACACCAGTAAAGTACAGCTGCTTTACTGCAAATCAAAAGTCTATATACATCCTTCAAAATTCGTCCAAGGACAACATTGCTGGCTATTTAGCACTTATCAGGCCAGACGGTGCTTCAGATCTAGACATTCTTCTCAGCTGGGTCCCTGAATATCTCATTCGGCAGTCCAAAGATGACTTTGACAACTATGTGCAGGTAGATCTTGATCCTGAATCGGGCGCAATCTCCGAAACAAGCAGGGTGATGGTTTCCCCACCGCCATTGAATGCTCGCAGCTCTCATGCCTTCTCAATTGCAGTCAAAGACCTGTTTTCTATCCAGGTCCGCCAGCCCTCTCTAGGCTGGTGGTGGGGCTCTTTGCTTTTCTACACGCGAACCCAGGTGACGCTACCAGCACTGTTTTTCCACGATTTGGAGTCTGAGAGTACAGTCAACGAGCAAAAGCGGAATTGTGAGAGTTTCGAGCCATTCTCGGACTCTGGCGATCTGTATTGGGGCGGCCAATCGTTTTTGAAAGAACTCAGAAAGTACGTAAAGCTGGTGGACGCGACTGTCGAAAGAGGTCTACTGCTAGTAAACCCTGA